GCGCGCGCCTCGACACACACACACGCGACGCGCGACGCGCGCACACACACAACACACACACACACACACACACACACACACACACACATATATATATATATATATATATATATATATATATATATATATTCTAATTATATATTTATAGATTCTAATATGTAGCCCAGCCCTGCTATATAGATTCTGCTGTTAATGCATAACTTTGTTGTTTTTCTTGGATACGTACCTGGCTCTTATGATGCAGGGGCCAAACTGAATCAAAGGACACCACTTAAAGGGATGCACTTCTACTAATGAATGACTAAATATCGTTAAAAGCTCTTGCGCAAGATTCATAGTCGTCGATTCGAAATCTTTTTTACATGTCTTTTTGCTCATTTTCAGATTAGCCAAGCAGCTAGCTAGCAGGCAGCATGAGGTGCGGCACACAGTTGTGGTTGGTGGCCGTAGTGCTGGCTATCGGGTGTGCGCAGGACAACAACGATGCGTCGCGAACCGGAAGCCACAGGCGACGTGCGACACGGTTGCAGTTGACGCCATTTGGTAACAACGGATACCGGATAGAGTCGGTCCCTGTGCTGCAGACGCCGCGGCCAAGCGCGTCGACCATCGGCGTCGTCAAAGCGCCACATGTGACACACGACGAGCTAGCGCTCGCCATCGCCGTGGGAACTCAGTCCGTCAACGCCATGCAGCGGTTAGAGAGAGAAATTCTCGAAAAAGGTAAAGCGTTTTTTTGCGCTATAGGGTTTGTCATTGTTGGGCGGGTGCGTGCGCGCGTGCGCGTGCGTGCGTTTGTGTGCGGACATCGGGCTATAGCATTGCCATGATGTTGTTTTTCACCTTACGTTCGTCAGGCGGAAAATAGTTAGATGATATATTCTATACACGTCACTACGATGTTCTCGCGTCGGCACACACGCTGCAGACGATGTTCTATGATTGAGGCCGTTCACCCTTGCTGCAAACTTTATATACAGCCCCCTCCCTACATTCACGCAGTTGAGTTTGATTTCTGCTTGCGTTTGGTATCTAGTTTCGGAGATGGTTTTACAGTAGGCCTACGCGCGCGTAAGCCAAACACGGAGTTAATATCATCGACGCTACTTATGTATAGTAAGATATTTAATCATATCTTACTGGTAGATGTAAATACGACAGTAGGCATGACCTAGAAGCATGATGTTGTGCGTCTCCAACGAGAATTTACACCCCGCTTTCCACGCAGCCCCACCGCATGCCTCGCATTTCAAGACAGCGCGTGCAAGAGAACAATGCTCTATTTACCTTGAATTTTGCTTGAATAGGGAAAAGATTATATCTGATTCATCTTACGTCATGTTGAATTATTTGTGCTTTCTGTGACTATTTATTATGCAAATGTCTTTTCGGCCTTGAATGTAATCCCGTGGAATTTGGGCGTTTCATCACTAATTTTTGTCAAAAGTTTTCTAACCATTTCTACCTGAATACCTTATACTGTATCCTACTGTTCCGATCTGGGAAAGCAAGCTTATATTGTACTCCACTTTTACAACAGGTCGTGTTATATATCACACACGCGCGCGTGTTTGTGTGTGTGTGTGTGTGTGTGTGTGTGTGTGTGTGTGTGTGTGTGTGTGTGTGTGTGTGAGGTGCTAGCGATGGACCTAGCGATAAGCGAGTGTGTCGAAGGTAGCTTAACGCTGGTTCACGGCGTACGCCCGTCCGAAACGATATTGGCCACAACAAGAATAGTGATTGCACAAACGAAAGTGAGAATGAGAGCGAGAAAAAAAGGCAGGAGAGAGAGGGAGATAGAGAGAGAGAGATAGTGGGAAAGAGAGCGAGAATGAGTGAAAACGCATCGGAGAGAGAAAGCTGACGCGAGAGTTAAGGGGAGAGTACGAGCAAGCGTACACAAGGGCAAGAGAGAGTAGGAGGAGAGGATGGATGAGAAGGAGGAGGTGATGGGGGAGAAGGAGGAGGAGGGGCGGAGGAAGACAGAAGAAGCTGAGGAGGCGGATTAGTGAGCGAGAGTAAGAGCAAGCGCACGCACTGCCAGTGATTGCCACTATTTTACATCTGATCTACGATTTTCGTGCTTGGTTGTCGGACTCACTGTGGACGCTTTGAGATGCGTATGCTTCTTCACTTACAACGTAAAGCGAGGTTTCTTGTGCTAACATTGCGCATAGCTTCACTGACTTCAGATCTTTTTCAACTTTAATAATAATATCGAAGACAAAAAGACACTTATTTTTCATATATGGTATTAAATCTTCGTGGGCCGCAAAAATTCAAGTAAATAAAAGTGAACGCGCGTGTGTAGATGTCAAGATTTTATAGACGATAATTATTATGTGCTCTTAATGTTTTTTTTACATGGTAACCCTGTCGCTTTTATACGGGAATCTCATTACGTATATAGTTTCCATTACCACGGTTCACATCTTGGCTGTTTTTCTCCGATTCTCAACATGAATTTTTCCGACTTATCTTCTTTGTAATCTGCTAGACGTATACGGCGCATCTTTTGTGTATACACACGCATTCATGTGCCGCCGTTCGGTTTTCATCATCGGGGCCCGCTGGCGTTGACAAAAGAATGACCCTTGTGGTCGACTGCCATCCACTAAGAAGTTGAGACCGCGCAAGAATATGGGGCGAACAAGGCGAAACGCTTCATGCTTAACCTCCCTGTCTGATTAGCCTGTGAAAGTTTGCACTCTCACAAGCACGCTATGCCGGTTCCACCCACGCTGTCATCAACCCAGATAGAAAGTTGTTAGCTACTGAGATCGACCCCTACTGCCCTGCTTCTGTCGGCCCATTACACAATGGGAGTATATAGCTGCATTATCAAGTGAATCGACTAGTGCCTCGGACTTCGCGTATATGTGCGGGTCGTACAGACAGTCTTTACCGCGATATATATATATATATGAATATATATATATATATATATGCCTCTTACAATTTTGACACTGCGCCTTTTATTTTGATTAGTATTCCTGATTGACAATATTGTGCTAACACTATATCTGTCGCGAAGAACACTCGCGTGTTTTTCTTGCGTGGATACAGTGAACCGTATTATCGCTATTCGCCGCTGTCCGGTGAGCCGCGGCCATAACCTTGATATAGCTTTGGTATAACTTACCTGTCTCACTATAAAGTTATATTCCCTTCACGAGAACGTATGTGATATGTATTACTTGAGGCTACACGATGGCAACATGGCCGTTGCTACCGTACAGTATGCGTCGGAATCGAGAATTCGCACGAGTCGACGCGGTACATATATGTAGGCAAGCAAATCGCCCACCGTACTCCACCCTGTAGTAGACTACTAGATTAAATGATGGCCACTTACCCGGGGCGACGATAGGGCGATATAAACACAACAAGAATTGCTCACACTCTCCAGATCTGTCATGCATATTTTGAAGCAGATTAAAGATATTAGAAACTGGTCAGTCAGCTAATTGTAAAATAAATCTCAAAGAAATCCGCCACTATTTTATCGTTAATATACTTCTAATTACAAGTTACATCGCCTTCTTACGTAGAATAGAGACATGCAAACGAACATAACATTTACATCAATAGCGTGCTCGCAATTTACCTACTATTTTAGGTGCCTGCTAAAAAATTGATTTTGTACAAATTTCAAACTGCATCTGCGTAATTTGTTGCTATAGCAGAGCTGATTGTGAAATCAGTGGAGCAAACGTCATAGCTAGAATAGCCTTGGAGAACACTAATTTTATTACGGTACTACGGCTATAGATCGGATGTAGAATAGGACGCAGATACAGCCTTGTGACTGTTATCGCTGGCATACCTAGCTGTTACCTTTTACCCGTCTGTCGTGCGTGCAAATGCTAGAACATTCCTGGGCTAGGCCTGGTCGATGCTCGATTGCTTACCAACCTTCAACCTTGTAGCAAAGCAAATCACCTACCAGAGTGGCGGGCTCGAGAAAACTGTGTGGGTGTCTGCATGATAACTATATATATATATATATATATATATATATAACCTGGAGTAGAAGATGACAACCTATATATGCAAGTCATGACGTAAAGTATCATAGCCAACCCCGATGTGCGTACGCTTGTAATGGGACAAGCGAACGCGAGCAGCTGCGACCGTTACCGGATAGCTGTTGCTGCTTGCATTCGGCATCAGGTGCTATATAGTTTATCTCTTTCATCTGGGAACGAATTCAGGCCAATAATTGTACTCTGGGAGAATGCTGCCCAAAGTACACCTACAAGATTACTTACACGATTGTAACATAATCTTTTCATTGCAACCTCGGTTCTTCACTGGCTAACGCTCCATTAGGAGCGTTCCCAACT